AAGGCGTGAATCTATCTTTTCCAATTTTTCTTCGTGACACTGCGTTCACTTGATTTCCCGTAGGAATAATAAAACCAAAACAATAATCATAACAAAATGGACGAAGAGGACTTAAACAACAATGGCGACACTGGGCGACAAGTGGCAGGCAAAACGTTGTTGCTGATCGTCAAATTAAGATAGATGGACGAAATTTTTTTCAGAGGTTCTTTTCTTTTCAATTTTTGTCTGGGCAAATGGAGACGTGTTTGTAATCGGTGACTTGAAATAACTGAACCTAAAGTGTAACTTCGGAGTCTAACTATCGCACTGGAGCCAGTGAAGTGAGAAACTTGCGTCTCCATTTAAGGTTAAACAAAGCTCGGAAATACGACGAGAACAGAAATATCTATAGTCGATGATCTCTTTCAACCAATATGTCTTATAAAATTTGCGTTTATATTAAAAGAAATTAGTAGCAATGGCATTAAATGTTGTGATGACTAAATTCTGAAGCTAATGATTTAATGAGCTCCTTGTATGTTCAACAACTGTTAAGTACCCATGGAAATGGCTTTATTGTCTTCTTAAATATTAGAGATTAACAGCTTTAACAAAATATTACAAAAAGAATCATAAATAGGAATCTAGATAATTAAAGAAGTAAGAGGGTAGAAATGAAAACATAAAACTGACAAAGTTTTCCATTTTACTGAAGCAGACGTTAAAGATGAGTATTATCCCCTCCTCTATCTTGTTTAAAAGCAAACTGCTCCTTTCTTCCGTCTATCTTCATAATCAAACAAGAATGGGTTATTATTTATCTGTGGTAGTGACATTATGTAATGTGCATTCATTTTCATTATGGTAACGACATGATTAACCGTATCCATACTTGAAACATTTGGCATTCACTGATTGAGCGTTTAACCTTACTATCGGCTGAAATTAATAAAATCTTTCCCTTAAAATAGTTTTTCAGGAAAATAGTTTCTTCCAGTCTATTAACTGTTATCACTATTCCTAGTAGCAATGGAAGTTTCATTCCTAACAATTTGTTTTGAGTAGTGTGGAAAGTAAACATCTTCATATTATTTTCCCTTTTAGTTACATCAGCTATCCATTTTTATTTTTTGCTGCTATATAAATCTTTAACTGATGGGGCTTGATTATTTGTTAATGATCTTTGTAGCGCCAATCTGTAGTATCTGATGTATCTTAGAAGATTCATTCAATTGAATCAATTTTGAATCACTGATTTGTGAAAATGGTTGTAAATAGCTGACTTGGACGCCATGCATGACATCCGTATGAGAGTCTAAATCTGACGAGGCCATTTAAGAACAGGACTCAAGTTCTCAGGTTAATAGTTTGGCTTTCTAGTGTTGGAAAAACTAGCGCTAGTGAAGGCTGGGCTTAATTTCCTTATGACTGATGCTAAAATTATTAACCTATCAGCCTGAAGGCCCAAATTCAAGTCGGGGGGGGGGAAGAAGTTCACGCTATTTAATTGTCAAGCATATATAAAATATATACCAGGATATATAAAATATATACCAGGACGAAAAATACTCATCTCAACAACACAAAACTACTTAAAAATCATACCACGTCAGATTTCGAAAGTAAATATATTTTCCTAACGGTTTATCTCTGCGGAACACATGTCTCATTATCATCATTCTTCCTATGATAGGGTTGTGGTTAATGTGCAGCAGCGCACCTGACCAGTTCCTTTCCCATATCTGGATTGAAAGCCGATGGGTTATTCATTCAAGTGTAGCGGATCTTGGGCAAGTAGACATGGCGGAGCCCCTTTCGATGTCAAACAACAGTCGATGTCCTCCAACTTGAAGACTCTCCTTGCTCACCGGGCTTTTGATTGTAGTGGGGGAACCCTCCATATCGTCTCTTGACTACAGTTTAGTAAGCTCCCCCCAACTGATGTTTATTTCTGTGGAACACATGTCTTTTTATTCGAATGACATATATATTCCTCGAGAGATTTTCTTTGTTGCTAGATGTCAATTATTACAGAATTGTTAATTAGTTTCTCATTATGGCTTAGTAAAGGTAATTTTATTGCAGCTGATGAAAATATGAGTTTCCCCACCTCAACATACATATTTATTACGTCACCATCATTATGAATTTTCGATTAGTGTTTAATTTCTTCATTTTTATTATATGAAGCATTGTCAGCCATCATCATTAATTTTCGACTAGCATTTACTTTCCTTTTCATTTTTATTAAATGTGATATTGTCAACCATTATTATTAATTTTCGACTAGTATTTATTTTTATCTTTAAATTTTATTAGATAAAGTGTTGTCAACCATTATAAAGTTTTTACTGATGTATTTCATCATCGTTTTTATTTATCAATATTTTGGTTTAATATTAAATACCTTTCCTGAAATCATTTTGTTTCTGTTTTTCATATTCTGAAGAAGGATGTGCGATCTGCATGAATCGAATGGGATTCAATTTAACTGACAGAAGGACACAAAGTAAGAGTTTAGTTTAACCCCTAGCTGAGTTGTTAAACGTTTTTGAATTATCAATAAGGAATAAACAGAAAACAATCTCAAGGTTTCTAGAAGTAACCTCAGGATATTTGGTGGCCAAAGCTTTAGTCATTCTCATGTCAGGCGATTTTTCATTGATTGTTTTTTTTACGGTTTTTCAACCATTAGTGGATTATTTAAAGCTGAAACCTCCTTTCGGATTGTAGGAGATTGCTTACTGTATCCAATGTTCCCAAGTGATCCCCAATCTAAGGACTCGACCTTGTTTAACTTCTGTGATCGAACAAGAACTGTTTTAAGTGTACTTTCATCTTTATCTGTCATCGCTTGACACAGCCCAAGACATTTCATAAATTAGAGTAAAATTGTTATTAGAAAGATTATGTTGTGTCAGACTTTCAGGTGGAATTGGCTAACCTGTCTTGAAAATGGTAGAGAAATCCGTGCGTTATTATTCCCATGAGCACCGATAAAGTGTTTCTGCCATATTTGGGACGGAGTTATCCACTATTCTCTTTCCAGCCGTGGCAGAGTTCAAAATCCTTGACGCGGCCTTGTAGGTGATGAATACTATTCCACTCTACAACCCCTTCTTCGCAGACGCAGCTCCACAAGCCCATTACTATTTCCATGGAGAATGTTCTGATAAATCACATTTTATACTTCCACCAGTTCAGACCTTCACATATAGGATCCGATATACCACGCACACAGAGTCGAATGATCGCCATTTCCTTCCCTATTCGGTTGATAACAAGTTCTATTCAGACAGAACTTTTTTCCCAACAGATGCTGCTCTTTTACTGGAACAGGCTCACGTAGTGATGCTTCCCCAACCACTACAATCATAAGCGCTTCAAGCCTAGGGACAACAGGGTCAACTGTTATCTATTCTACATATCCTCATAATCTACAATTATTAGATATCTTCTCACGAATTTTTCCTGTCTTGGTTTAGTTTCTTGAAGGCACTCTTCTCATTCATTTCAGACTACAACTAATCTGCGGCGACTAGAAAACATATGGTACATTCAAATAAATTACCTTGGCTATTATGGATAGCACACCTAACTCTAAGAGAAAATAATGACATAATCAAGATGTTGATATTCCACACCACTTCAAATAAAAAATTAGGAAGACCCCCCCACCCAATACTGGAAAGAGCGATAACAGCTACAGGTTTTGAAAAACCTATTTTCCTGAAAAATTGTCTTAAGAGAAATATTTTAGAAATTTCAACTGAAAGTAATACTTGTAGGGAAACGGCTTATATATAACCATTACCACCAACTTACAAAATTAACATAATTACTAGCGGATTTTTTCTATCAAAGGTAACTCCAAGAAAAAATCAACGTTTCAACATTTTATCTGAACTCGACGAAAGGAAAGTTTACAGAATTTCGAAGATAATTACTTGTAGATAAATAAATAAAAAAGGGAGAATACTCTGCAATCAGTTTACTTTTATTTTTATTAATAAATACGTAAATATATATATATTTTTTAAAATGAAGATGATATAATTTCTCGGGTCTTAGACTCTGCACCAATATTTTCACTTTTTTCTTAATCTCTTTCAATGCTGATGCGATAATCTTTCCAATTATTGTAATAAACATAAAAAATCGGATTATTCCAATACGACAGTGAGCGTTGCGTATTTGTCTTCAGTCAAAAAATACTCATTGACTTGCGGTTTTATAAAAGATCAAACAAAGGCATAATTAAGCTGTCAATTTAAGTGGGAATTGCTTATTTTCCAAGTACGAATATTTTAATAGTCATACAAAAACCATGACACAATATGTTACTTTTACTGTGTTATAGTAACAAACAGTTAATATCACAAAAAGCAATCGGGTCTGGATGATTAAGATTTAGGACTTGGGAGATATTTTGTAAATATTCGAATTTTTGGCTAGAATTTACCACATAAGCGTTGATTAGTTATTTAATGTCGAGATTAGTTTTAAGTTTATGGGTTAATATTAGTTTTTTTTAAACGAATCAACACGTAATCACTGGTAGTGTTTATGCGCGAGTCTAAAGGAAAAATAAACAAAACACTGGTCGACTTTATACTTGGCCACACTTTGTTTTATTCCTCTTGTCTTTGAGAGAGCTATTTCTGTTTATTGGTGCTATAAAAGGACACTATACGCAAACCTTGTATTCTTAGCTGAACAAAGCTTTCTTAAAGCCTACATCTGCGTACTTTGTGTCATTACACTTGACTCAGCATATAAACTTTGAACATCGCAACCCGAATCCGCAAGCATCCGATCAATAGGTAACCAGTTTTTTTTGGAGGGTGAGGGTGAAGTCTTACCCCTCTATAGGGTTAAAGTTGTATTATGCATGGAAATAACGACTGGGCAAATTCCAAATGTATATACACATACACCCACGCATATTACATCTGTGTGTTCAAGAAATGTGATCTTGTATCTAAGTTGGCCTCACAATAAATAATAATTAAATGGTTTACGGCGTTATCACGTCGAAACATTGGTTCCCGTACGTTCACCGAAAATAAGCAACGTCGAGCCTGGTTATTACTTAGATGGGTGGCCGCTTGGGAATACTAGGCGCTGAAAGCTTAGATTTGCGGGTGGTGTAATGGATAACGGTTAGGAATTGTTAATCTGAGAGCACAGTTTCAATTCCAGTCAGGATCGGTATATTCACTTACGAGCAAATAACTTTGAGAAAGGTAAGAAACCACCTCTTCTTCCTCCAGCTATGGGTTAATTAGTAAGCCTTTTATCACTAAATTTTTATTATATATAAAAATATTACAATCTAAATATATGTTCTGGCTTAAAAAACACCTAGAAAGGGTTGATAAACCGTTAAAAAACAATCAATTAAAAATTATAATTATTAGATCTATCACTGATTCGGTTAATTGTATTTGAATGCATGATCAGAAGGTTCTTTTTGAAAAATAGTTTTAACATATAAATATATTTTTTTAAAACTCTACAAAGATATTTTGAAAGGTGTCGTCTCAAGATACAATTAAACAATAATGGGACCATTGCGATTAAAATCAAGAATAATGTCTAGTTTTTATCCTGACCCGAGTTGAAATTATGTACTCTTGGCTAGAAATTTAGGAAAACTCAACATTATAGGATATTTTGAATGAAAACAGATCCTCTCTTATTAAATTGATTGATCCGTTTTTTACGGCTTATCAACCTTCTTCAGGTTATTTAAAACCAGAAATTATTTTTGGTTACGAAGAATTTTTTTATTTTTGGAGATAATAATAATGATTTAGTAATACAAGTCTTACTAATTAACCCATAGCTGGGGGAGAAGAAGTGGATTTATAGTTTTCCCAAGAAATATTTGTGAATATAACAAACCCAACTGGAAATGGAACTCGGCTCTCCGATTTCCTGTTCTGAGGCGTTATCCATTACACCACCCACACATCCAAGCTTACATCACCTGGCATTACCAATTTTCAAGCGTTCACCTATCTAGATACTGAACAGGTTCTACGTCGCTTAACCCTGGTGATCGTGCAGGAACCGGCATTTAAACGTGATATGGTTTAAGCCCTCTCTTAGAATTCTCGTTGAAAACATTTCTGACAGTAGGTAATTGCTCGCCTGTCTTGATTGCATACACACGTGAAAATATAATAAAACTGTGGATATTTCTTTCTGGAGGAACGTTGTTTCCCGCTCGCTATTCAATTCCCAACTTTTTTCCGGTGGGAATCGGAGTCATACACAATTTTCCAATAGTAAATACTATCAAACTAGCCAAGCTTATTTATGGAATACAAATAAGCGTTGTTCTCTCATGTCAGTAACAGATACACATTGTTATTTTATTATGTATATGAGCAAACTAGTACATCGACTTCAATTCTGAATGTTATTTTTTCGCATGATCAATCATGCCTGCCTGTTTGGCTTCATATAGAAATTCTTGCAAAAGTATTGATTGATACCTTCTTAATAAGACGTTGCATCATGCGGCGCTCAAATGCTAGGAGAACTGATAGTCTGAAATAAGTTGGTTAGACATCGATGATATGGTTGGAAAGAACCCACTTTTTATAATGCGTCATGGACAGTCCAAAAAATGCTTTTTATTTCTTAATGAGAAAATAATATCATGAAAAGATTAAAAATGTCAATGTTTCTTATTTAAACGAAATTGAAAAGACACAAAGAAACAGTATGAGAAAAATGAAAGCAAAATGATCAGCTACATTTTATTGCCGTCTCTCTATAAAGCTTAGATTGACGTCTCTCTATAAAGCTTAGATTTCAACTTTTGAAAACGCTTTTTTTCATTCCTGTTAACGGTTTTATTTTTCGTTATTTAATATCTATAACCCCACAGCACTTCATTAAATATTGATTTTCTAAGTGCAGCTTATATGTGGCACAAAGCCGAAACTATGGGCACCCAGTGAGGATCGAACTCACTATTCAGTTGTAACTGTTTTAGCAAGACAAACTCGCTAACCATTACACCACACCGAGGTGCCCTTTATTTTCTAAGCGTAGCTTAGATGTGGCACAAGGCCGAAAGTAGGGGGCACCCAGTGAGGATCGAACTCACTACTCAGTCGTAAATGTTCTAGCGAGACAAGATTGCTAACCATTACATCGCCACGAGGTGCTCTAGGATTTCATTAAATATACTGAAGAGAGAAAGACATTTTATCTAATTCATAGATTTTATCGTTTCTACTTCACCCAAGTATAACCCTTGGTGTTTTCGATGGATTTCTGTATCCCACTTGCCAACAGAGCTATACTGGTGGTGTTATGACTCTCGGGAGGTACAAACAAGCGAGAGGGTAGGGATCAGAGTAAATGAGAATAAAAAGGAAGGCAGGTCAAAACCTATGGCAAATAATCCGCTTGCACGGGTCGTATAACAGTTGCCAAAATAGCTATTCAGTGGGAATATTACTCGTGACTGGTACAAAGTAGCCGCGCAGATCAGAGGGTAGAGATCAGACTTTGTGAGAATAAAAAGAAGCCGTGGCAAGACCTAAACTCATTTTTCGTCGGGTAATATGAAAACGAGTAAAAACATTATCATAACAGTAACAGCTTAAAAATATACAACCTTTTTGTGATATAGGCAAACTTATATATAAGTGAGCATTGAAGTCAACAGTCAGAAGCGATAGACTGTTTCAGGCTAAACGCAATCATCAGGCCACATGCATTGTGTTTTTCTCGACTATTTATATATACGGGTCAGTGGTGCATTGTGGGTAGTCTATTCTAACAGTTATTTTGGCGAGAGAGATTTACTTATTTATTTGGATTAATTTATTTTACTTGTTTTTTTCTTTAAATTATTTAAAAAAATTTTTTTTTCAGTTTTCAATTGTTACGTAATGTAGTAAAAAACTGAGATGAGTTCTGATCGTTTATTTAATAGCTTGTTCGGTCTGGGAAGGTAGTTATAACTATTTTTTCAACCAAGAAGAGTTTGCAATTTTTGGATTCATTGTTGTAGTCTATTCTGACGGTTATTTGGGCGGGAGTGGTTTGTTAATTTGTTTATTATTTCTTCATTTGGATTAATTTATTTTACTTGTTTTTGCTAATTTATTCTTTTCATTTTGTAGTTGACAGGAAAGCAATAAGCCGGAAGAAAGTTGCATGTGCTAGAAGTACGAGAGAAAAAACTATTAGAAGAAATTATAAGGATATATACAACTATTTTAACTATTAATTTAAAAGATACATGTGAAAACTTTGTAATAATTGTGAGTTTTCTATTATGTTCCATGTCCCTTCAGGACGTTGGCGATTATGGCTCGCCACACTTTCCTGTCCATTGTAGTTCTTAGTAGATTTTATCCTTTTTGTTATCGCTTCTAAAACCTGTTATGTCATCCATTTCCACAAGCCCGTCAGGTAGCCTATCTGCTCTGTCCCTTCTGCTGTTAATATGTTCTGTGTCAAATTTTCCAAGTCCTCTTTCCACATTAAAAATGTCAAGCGTCTCATTCTGATGCTATGTATAAGTATCCTTTTTGTTTCCATGAACAATTACGTTATTTTTGACGGCACAAAGATCAGTTTTAGCCAAACAGCTATTTTTCTCGCACTTCTTACCTGTAGAAATCCCTTCTGACTTCTTGCTTCCTTGATAACTACAATCTTCAAAAATTTAAATGCAACGTCAGTCACCATCTTCTGTCTTCTTGAACCCTGTTGCTTTGTTGCCCTTTCCTTAATCCTCAGTATATTCAATCTTCTTATTCACTTTCACATCCTGTAACTTCCTTCGATCTAGTAGCCCTGTCTCCCTGCTTGCGGGGAAATGATATATATATATATATATATATATATATTAGTGGGTGTAACATCAAAATTGTCCAAATCGTGTAACAGCAGAATTGTCCATCCCAGAAAATGTTTAATATCTAAAACTCCATAATATCATATGTCGTAAGAATCTCTGAGAAACCCTTTGAGTTATTCAGCTAGAAAGAGAACAGGTAAAATTGTTTTGTGTCATTCTTAATGAGCAATGGTGAGAGGAAAATATAATTCAGGCCTTCAGTAATGGTACCAATATTCATACTATGGCTTCTATCTTCAAAGTCCATTCAAGAACCATCAAGAGAATGGAGAATAAGTTTTAAAAAGAGGAAACAGTAGAGAAGAAAAGTGGATTAGGAGTTCACAAGAGGTAGAGGGATCATGATTTCAACTTAGAGCTAAAGAGATTAATTAGAAAAAATCCAACTCAATCCATAAGACGTTTGGCACGTGAAAGAGAAATTTCAGCTATGACAGTCCAAAGAGCAGCGAAAAAAAGACTTGAAAACAAAATCGTACGTAAAACCTGTGAGGCACCTTGTTACTCTGGGACAGAAAGTTAGAAGGATAGAGAGGGCGAAGATCATCTTGAATAAGTTGGAAAATGATCTTGGAATAATATATATATTTGAACTGTATTTCAATCCTTCATGAGCTTCTGATCCTTAGCTATAATTTATTAATGATGAACATTTTGGTTTATGATCGATTTCATCAAGATTCTTCTAAGCTTGGCGGGTAATTATGCATTTTATTGTTCAAAGTAGAGATCAATAGGGTCATAAAAACGTCGAAGAATTCTAGTAAGATACAGCGGTTCAGAGCTTAATCTAACAATTGGATAATTTTGCTATCATACCTGATATATATATATATATATATATATATATATATGAGAGAGAAAGAGAGGTAGAACTTTACAGTGTAAGAGGCACAGTTTATGGGGTTATGTGGGAAAGATAACGGTTAACTTTAAACTTGAACAAGCTGTGATTGTAGTAATTCCTTTTGGAAGTCTGTTCCACGAAGAAGCTGTTCGAGTGGAACTTACATCTAACCATTGGAATACAAAGAGAATGAAGATGGTTCGTCACATATTGCGTGGCATGGCAGGTCTTGGCCGTGAAAGTTAGAAGCGCTGAAACTAACGAATGTAGATCGTCTGAACATTTTACATAGAAATAGCAATAGAGCAGCGAGAGGCTGGTAACGTTTCTTCTACGGATAAACTTGTAAGGTGAAAAATAATTCATCATCCACAAAGATGATTTTTATTTT